ACCTGATAGTAGCCACACTCAAAAGGCAACTGAAATTTTAAGATAGAAGATGACAACAAGATACTAGAACACATAATTATGTTCTATCTACATGTATTACACATGATCACTAAAGCATTTGTAAGCGTCTCTCCTCAGTCTTCGCACTCATTTAGTTGCAATTTCAAGATCGGCTTAACAGAAGCCTCAGATACATTTGTAGGAACGTCAAAACATGCAGCTTAAATATTAATAGAAATTATACTTTTTCATTGACTTGATAAAACCTGATAATATTACTAATTAGTATAACCATGGGGCTTTAATTGGCAGATTTTCTTCTCTCCCATAGGAAAGAAATGAGCCTGCCGCATACTCCTGCGGCAGACTTGCCGCAGATCTGCAGCAGACCTGCCGCAGACAGTCATCTTTTTCACATGCAAATTAGTTTTTGCCGCAGACTTGCCGCAGACTTGCCGCATACTCTTTCAGTATGATGAAGAGTCTGCGGCAGGTCTGCCGCAGACTTGCTGCAGACTTGCTGCATACTCTTTCAGTATGATGAAGAGTCTGCGGCAGGTCTGCCGCAGACTTGCTGCAGACTTGCCGCATACTCTTTCAGTATGATGACGAGTCTGCGGCAGATCTGCAGCAGACTTGCCGCAGACTTGCCGCAGACTTGCCGCAGACTTGCCGCATACTCTTTCAGTATGATGAAGAGTCTGCGGCAGGTCTGCCGCAGACTTGCTGCAGACTTGCCGCATACTCTTTCAGTATGATGAAGAGTCTGCGGCAGACCTGCCGCAGACTTGCTGCAGACCTGCCGCAGACTCTTCATCATGAATATTCATATCTTATATAGACCTGCTGCAGACCTGCCGCATACTCTTTCATATCTAGAACGTGGCAATAAAGTATGCATGTAGAAGAACCAGTGGTACTAATCGATATTGGCAATATCGATATTACCAATTAGGTAATTAGGTAATACCAATATATATCGATATTACCAATTAGGTATATTCTATTCTCAATTGTATTAACTTCATCACATAGATCATTTGAGTGTATTCAAGAGTAACATATAACGTGACACAGGCTCGTACACAAATATATATACTAAATATGTATATTGTTTCTTGGTTAGTAATCATATAATCAATATCAATCTATCAATCTATTGCTAAAACGTGAATGTAATTGTAACATGATCAGACAAAATAATCTATTGGTTAATAATGGCAAAAGGAAAATAGAAATCACAAAAATGATGTGCATTGTCTTAATTTGCTTAACAAATCATGATAAATGTATTTTTCTGTCACACGTGTAAAGTAATAATGAATATGCGTGAGATGATTGGTTTCAATTGGTTTCAATTGGCCCTATTAGACTTTAATGGGATTTCAATCAGGGGCGTCGCCAAAGGGGGGTGTGGGGTGCGACACCCCCCCCCCCCCCCCCCCCACCTGTCAGGATTTTGTCGGTAAAATTGCGCTGCCGTCGGGAAAAATTAGAAAGGGGGAGGGAAAAAAGAGAGGGAAAGGGAAAGAAAGGAAAAAAAAAGGAAAAGAAAGAAAGAAAGGAAAAGAAAGGAAAGAAGGAAAAGAAAGGAAAGAAAAGAGAAGAAAGAGAGAGAGAAGAGGAAAAAAAGAAAAGGAAAAAAAGAAGAAAAAAGAGTAAAAGGGAAACAAAAGAAACGGATGAAAGAGAGGAGAGAGAGGGGAGGTAAGAGCCTGAGAGAAGAGGAGTGGGAGTAAAAGAGAGAAGGGGGTTGTTGGGTGGAGTCGTCTCGTCGAGGGAGCAAGAAAGACACAGTCAAATATGTTGCTGTGTCGGGTCAGCTGTGTCGGTTTTCTTGCTCGATCCTCGTGTACTAATATCAATGCAGAAGTTTGAAGTCGGTGAGATGTATATTGTCGGTCGGTCGGCTGACAAGTTTTTTTTTCCCTACGAACTGTGACTTTTTATCCGCTGTGACGACTTCGAGAGTGACTACAACTACAATACTTGTATTTTTTTCTCAAAGTTTCACTTTCCTATAATATCAGCTAAAGAAATCAGAGGTTTAACATTTTCGGGGAAACTAAATTCAAACAAAGTTTAAAAGTTAACAACGGTACGACGAATCGTTTTCCTTTCTCTATATTGTAATGAGACGCCAAAGATTCCGCGCTTCGCGCGGAAGGGGAAGATTTAATTTAGACGAGTCGAGAACGGTACAACGAATCGTCTTCTTTCTCTAATAATTTAAGGAAACGTCAAAGCTTCCGCGCTTCGCGCGGGAGGGGAAAACTTCATGTAGACGAGTGGAGACAGTACTATCGTCTTATTTCTCTAATAATTAAAGGAAACGTCAAAAATTCCGCGCTTCGCGCGGGTGGAGGAAACTGCATTCAGAGAAGGATAAAGAGTCGAGCCCGGTTCAACGAATCGTCTACTTTCTCTTATAATTTAATGAAACGCCAAAACTTCCGCGCTTCGCGCGGGAGGGGGAGAACTAAATTCGGATAAGGATTAAGAGTCGAAAACTGTACACCGAATCGTCTGCTTTTTTCTCATAATTTAATGAAACGTCAAAGTATTAAGAGTCGAGCACGGTTCAACGAATCGTCTACTTTCTCTAATAATTTAATGAAACGCCAAAACTTCCGCACTTCACGCGGGAGGGGGAGAACTGAATTCAGATAAGGATTAAGAGTCGAGAACAGTACACCGAATCGTCTGCTTTTCTCATAATTAAATGAAACGTCAAAGCTTTCGAGCTTCGCGCGGGAGGGGGGGGGACTTCATTAAGACAAGGATTAACAGTCGAGAACGGTACAGTAAATCGTCTTCCTTTCTCTATATTGTGTTGAAATGCCAAAACTTCCGCGCTTCGCGCGGGAGGCCTATCACCCACCCACCCCCTAATGAGCGCGTTTCGCGCGCTCTTTAAGTGATTCGCTTGCTCTCTTCCGCCCCTCCCTAAAATAAGATCCTAGCTCCGCGCCTGCATTAAAATATAGCTATGCTGACTAAGTTGACGAAATAATTCATGTATTTATGTCGTCGAGGAAAATAACCATTAATTTTGCGCGTACGCAAGTACTATATATAGATAGTCCATAGGAAAAATAATTTAATTTTGTCGGTAATTGGTGGCTAGTTTTGTCGGTAATCGTTGGCCTATACACCCCCCCCCCCCCCCCCCCCCCCCACTGAAAAAGGTCTGGCGACGCCCCTGCCTGCATGGACCTGATTATCTGCCAATAATATTATATTATATGATACGATAAGAAAAAATCTTCCCTTCGGCTTTTCTGATGTTTACTAAATTTTTAGATTTTTTATTTTCGTGGATTTAGCTCCTTTTGGAATGAAACATGTTATTGTACCTAAAAAATAAAAAAATAAATCATATTTTCTCAATAAAGTCACTGAAATTTTATTCAAATTTAGCAGCAAACCTTTCCTTTTAAATAATAATAGTGAAATCACACATAAAAGTAACCTTTCGAAAAGAAAGTAAATAACATTATTACAGTTTCATTCCAAAAGGAGCTAAATCCTTTCAATTCCAAAAGAAGCTAGAGTCCATGTTTTATTCAAAAAGGAATTACTAAATCCACAAAATCTAAAAATTTGATAGAAATCAGAAATAACTGGTGGATTTTTTGTCTTATCATATAGGTCCAGGGCGACACCTTTAACATACTGTATATAACAACATGAAGGTACATGGCTAAAGGGAAAGTGGAGAAATAAAAAGAAATAAATTTTAAAAAATATTAAAAAATGGTTGTATTAGTATACTATAATGAATGACAGTAGTGAATTAATTTAACATCTTACTTGATTCATACTTGTCCATAATGCAGTGTTTTTCAGTATTCTTATTTTGGTATTGCATGCAATTGTAAAGTTTTAAAAAAAGTGATTGTAACTTCTTGTAAATAAGTTGTGTTCTACAGTGCCTGTGTATTGCATGACCTACGTCAGTACGTGATTACTTGTAAATGTGTAAAGACATAATATTTCAATATAATTATAGTAATGCTAAAATGAAGATACATAACATGTTTTTATGGTGTACATTGAAAGCTTTATTCGGCCATAACTAACAGTTAAAGTTACACAACATTATTCAGATGAATACAAATTATACTTGCTGTACTGAAGGCAATATTTAAACGTGATGTTGATTCCTACCATTGCATACAAACAGATCATGTGTATTAAAAAAGGCACATTTTTATTTAGCATCTATCGCTATGACAACTTTAACCGTCGTCATTAAGAAGGAGCAATATACTTTATTTTTATACCACCATGTCTTGTTACTTATTAGTTACTGCTTATTTATATACATCTTATCTTGTGTCTTTCATAAAAACTTGACATTCTCTATAGGCAATGTGTAGATAAGTTTACCAAAGAAAAGTATCTATAACAGTAATGTCTCTACGCGCTTGACAAATATACTATTACCCCGGTCATTTGATTCAGTGCTTGCCCGCACACAATGTTTTGACTAGTACGTGATCATACAAATTTTGCCGAGAAACTGCCTACTAATTGATATATTTGGTAAATTATTATATCTATTTGCACTTGATAGATATAACGCATGTGTCGCGCACTTGTGCGTAGTCCCATATACATCTTTCTGTGTACAGTGCTCGTAACTTTACCAAGACTGGGCCAATTTTTGTATCATTTCGATGATTCTAGAACCTTGCAGTACACACCAAGACTTATATGCTAGATGATCAACCTTTTCTGATCGATTCCACAATAATCCTTTCACAATGCAGTCGCATGACCATAACTGGTTTTATCTTTTAAGTTTCACATCTTACTTTATATATAAAGTTGAGTTCTTGTCATGCGATTGCATTGTAAAAGAAACGTTGTGGAATCGATCAGAAAAGGTTGATCATCTATCAAGATGATAAGAAATTTTGCCTAGTCTTGGTACAGTTACAAGCACTGTACACAGAAAGTTGTTTATGGGACTACACGAACATGTAGCAAAAAAATCCGTCCCGAAGTTATGATGTTACAGCCATATTTAGAATATTAAAGCATTTGAAGAGCCTTGCTTTTCAGGGAACATATTTTATCTGATGTTCTTCCACATTGCATAATACAATGATAACGCTCACAAATCATTTTTTCACCTCTTTCAAGAACTCAATCTTCTCTTTAAGCTATCGAACATGTTGAACAATTAAACTGAGTTAGACAATACCACCTGTGCACTAAGAAACACATATAATTAAGCGCCTTATAAATGTCATTATTATCGTTATTATTATTTCTATGTCTGTTTTTCTTCTCCTAGGTTTTAACAAAGTGAAAGTAAATCTGCCCCTGTATTGATTGACAACATTTTTCTATACACATTCATTTAAACATGTTGATCGGCATCGACATCTCTGTATGAAGCAGGAGTAAATTGTGGAACACGATGACATCACTGGACTACCATCGCATAAAGAAGACCAGTTAACTCCCCAATGTATTTAGGGACCGTTTCACGTAGGATATATTTCCAGATTTCGTTCTGAGCACGCATGAGAATGTCCGTGTCGAGTTGACTATTCTTGAAGGCGGGGCAGGTGTAGACGAATGCCTCTCGCATAACAATCAAAATGATACAACCTGGTGGAAAAGAGTCAGAATAATAATAAAATGAGGGGTGTGGGAGAAAAGAATGATAAAGGAATAGAGATAGAGACGAAGAAAGATAAAAAGAAAGAAAAAGATAATTTTCAAGTTTTTGTTTTAATGGAAAACCCTTTCAATACCCAACGTTGCTCTTCACAGGGACCTTGTCTGTGCAATTAAACAGACATATTAAAACATTACAACATTACATAAAAATTCAGCAAAAAAATATAAACATTTAGAAAGAATGCAAAATATACATGGTTAAGCTAAAAACAGAAATTAAGCTTAACTCCTGAAAATGTTTACCACCCCCCCCCCCCCCCCCCCAAAAAAAAAAAGGACATTGAAATTTAACGTGATAGAATAGATACGAATTGCTTCTCGGAGTGCTCCTGTAGAAGTTTTTCAGACCTGGAAAAGTTGTTGAGTACAAGGTTTTGTGTTGATTTGTGTTCTAGATGGGTATCGAAGTAAATTCAGCTTGGCTGTCAGCTCGGCAACCTTGGGCAACTTTTTTAATAGCCATATTAGCATAATCATCTAATGAGCATATGTGCAATATGTAATAATGTTGCTAATCTCAATCCAGGAAGCCTAAAAAACATGGACAATACGACTTGCTTATAGTCCTGTACAATTTTTTTCAGACCTGGAAAAGTTGTTAAGAACAAGGTTTTTTGTTGATTTGTGTTCTAGATGGGTTTTGAAGATAATGAGTTTTAGAGTGTTAGACCCCATTTCCGTTGGCGAGGCAATGGGGCCGACACGGGTTAAACTAAACATACCTAATCACTCCTTATCCCAAATCGATGCTAATTTGTGATTCAATATGTATTCATACTTGAACAAGTAATTGGCAACGAGTTATTGCATTCATCTATCATATATTAATTGATTTCGATAGTCAGGATACGAATCGGATACATCAGTTGTTGATATAGGTAGGAAAAACATTATGGCTTGCATTCTGACTATTTCATTTACGAGCTAATGCAAAATGAAATAATTCGAGACTAGACAATTTACAAAGATGTACTCATAAAATTAGAATACATTATGAAAATGGCCCATTCAAAAAGGGCGTGTTACTATGTATGATGTGGCCCGGAAGTGATTTTTTTTTTTTAATTTACACAATAGCCTGTAATTTTACGGCTTTAATTTCAAAGAACCCGCTCGCGACGAGTCTAGCTAGCAATGAAAGCTTGGAAAGAGGTCAAAAACAATTAGACTTTGATTATTTATTGCTTTGCCTCACTGTTTTATAAAGGTAAAACTATAGCAATGAAAGCTTGGAAAGAGGTCAAAAACAATTAGACTTTGATTATTTATTGCTTTGCCTCACTATTTTATAAAGGTAAAATAAAAACTGAATAAATACTGAAATTCGAATCCACAACTCCAAAGTTGTATTACGTTGTCCTTACCGATTGAGATAACGATGAGCTGATTAAAGGTGGATTTGAATGATTATTATAACCCTACCACTAACCCTAACGGTTACCATGTGCGCATGCGCAGGTTTAGCTAGCTAGCTAGACTCTTCGCGAGCGCGTTTATTTAAATTAAAGCCGTAAAAACCACAGGCTGCCTTGTAAATTTAAAAAATGCGGCCCCGAAAGACCTATACATAATTTAGTTGGTAAATGTCGTGTTTTTACCTTTCTTTGCTACCCGAAGTAGTTCTGGAAACACTGCTTGTGTTACACATCCCTGGTTGAATGACCCTACACACACGATAGCGTCATAGGTACCTGTAATACAACCACGAAGGAGGACATTATGAGCAAGAATGTGTTACCTAGTGTCATCGATATTTCATGATTGGTTATTAAGGGTATTCGGATTTCAGCTGCGATGCAAATTGTATTGTTCTGTTCTGAATGAATTGCTAATAAAGGCCTAAACATATTTCATGGCCTTCATTCGTCAAAATTTAAAAAATCTAATTTACAAATTCAAAACCATTATTATCTAACAAAGTTGCTTCATGTATAGATATTATTAGACTTGTTCCAGAAAAATGTAACATCCTTTTCAAACTTCTTCTTGAGTTGAGTTTTACCTTTTAAATTATTACAAATCAATAAAGAACCGAGTCCACCAATACATGAGGATGCTCCGATTGTTTCGAAGACACCGAGGATGCATGAAATTGAGGATAAATATAATGCCCGAACATTATCTGCAATATTTGTTTCATAAAGTAACAGGGATCATTTGCCAATGAATTACCCTCATCTCAAAGTTCACAAATTTATATACAGTCGACCGAAAAAGTTGGATGTGGATGATTACATAACTAGCCAATAGAAAATGTTATACACCTCTCTTTAGAAATCTTGCCATCTGATTGGTCGAAATTGGAGTCGTGATTTTAGCCATTCCCGTAAAGAAACGAACAATGCCAGTAACGGTTAATAATAATTGAGTGAGATTCCCAAAGATTCCGGGTACCGGGAAAATAGTTAAGTTTTGATTAGATCCCCATTGGTTTACGTGTTAAAATTTTCTTTTGCCAGCGCAGATACCATACAGAGCTTTTTGTCTGCGATTCCCAAATGATTGTAACATTCAGTCATCTTTCCAGCGAAGATTAACAGACAGTGTGTCAGATTTTATGTGATTTTTTAACCAATCTTTACTCGAGAAAATGATTGTGTCAATTCGGTATATAAAAGATATATCGACTCGGGTCATGGCAGGATGCAACGTCCCCTTGAGCCTTTAAAACAGCCAGTCCTCTCATAGCAGTCGATATCCCCTGTCATTAGCATTTGCTAATAGCAGGTGAGGTGTTACGAATGAAATCAATTTTAAGTCATCCGTCCACTCTCAGTGCATATATTGATTATGATCTACGTCATTGCTTCCACCAAATTTGTCTCACCATCCTGACAAGAAAGCCCCTGCCCTATGACGTCACAGGCCTCTAGTCGGGAATAGACTCCTGTCTGTTTCGCATGAGTGAGCATGTCCTGAACCAGATCAACGCCATCTATATTCACATAGCCTTGTGAATGAAGCTAATATAATAGGGGAATCGTAATAGAATGAAAATCAGTAACACCGTAAGAAGCTTTTTGGACATATTTATAAATGATAAGTGAAGATCTAGGTGTGTAGTGCATTTTTGGTTAATCCTTGTTTCATGACACACCTCAAGTGTTCGAAGTGTCCTTATCAAACCCAATAGAGTCCAGAATTTGCCTGGTCCTTTATATTTCCCTACACACTGGATTCAAGCCGTCCTAATTAATGATCACGCCATCATCGGCTGGTAGCAAGTAAGTAGGGAGAGGTAGCGTTGGTGTGGTGGAGATCAAAATTAAATAGGCCAGATTCTGGACTAAACACAATACTGCTCATGAAGTTAAACCGTTCTGAAGCCATTGGGAAAGGCTAGTTCGCTGGTACAAATTATTGGTGGATGCTGCCAGGTGTTAAAATTACCAAAACGAGAAGAATTTGACTCAGTGTTGCTTAAGTGCCTAGATCTTTGTAATTATAGTTTTGCAATATTTATGTACTTATGTTTTAATCATTTCATACCAATTAGTCTTTCCAGCAAATTTTGTCTTAATTCTGCATTACATTCATATAATACTCGAAGTCTATCTAATTTTCATTTAAATAAAATAAGACTAATTATAACTAAGAAATCAATTTTTTTAAGGAGTCACAATTGTGGAATAATATACCTTAAGATAAAAAAATCTAGTCCATCGATTAACGTTTTTAAAACGAGATATAAATCATTTTTAATCCAGCAAAATAAATAAAGATTGATTATGTACAAGGTCTGATTTTGGGTTTGGGTTTGTTTTTGTCCCCCCCCCCCCCCCCCCTCAAGTAGGTTTTTTTTTTTTTTTTTTTTTTTTATAATCACCCTCTCAAACAACAATACAATACTGTATTATACTTTATTACTGTTTTGGTGGCAGCTGTCTCCACGTTCATATATATTTTTGTTGTTGTATTGTATTGTAAATGTTTCTCTTTAACTTGTACGCTATGTGTGACTTGTACGCTATTTGTTATGATGTTTTTATGATGAATGAAATAAAGTTCAATTCAATTCAATTCAATAAGTCACATGCACCGCACAGAGAGTTGTGCAAGATTACGCACACATGTGGCTTGCCTGTTTAGTCCAAGCATTTCAGATATTTGTTGTCATATTTCGAATATGAGAGAGCAATCCATTGCAGCAACGTTTATTCCAAAAATAGCCTATTCTTCCAAACATGACATTAAAAAAGCAACGAGGGAGGTCACATATTACTTTACACCTTTTAGACAGAACTCACCCTTCGCTTTAAAGGGATTGGGTATCTTTGCCTCACTGCCCTCACATTCTAAACAACATCCTAGATTTAGCTCATGCTGCAATCATAATTACAAACCTTTAGGTCAGTCAGGAATCCCATGAAATTTACAAGCCGATCGCCTTTCTGATTATCAAGATATTTATGATTGGAATTAGAAATGTCAAAAACTGTTTGCCAAAGAGTTTTGGACAGTTTTGTTTATAACACTACAGTCTATTGGGGAAAATGAGTATGGTAAAACCGGTCACTCAAAGATTTTTACTTTTTTGAAGCACTTCAAGATCATTCTGAAGCGCAATTTTTTTTGAGGGCTTCAATATTACACCCTATCACAGACACAGACACAGACCTTTAAGCTGTATTATGTACCTCTTTGCCAACCAATCCAGTTCCACAGGCCACGTCTAAGATCTTCTTGCTTTTATCTGGCATCAACTTGGAGAGTTTCTGTGCAGCTAGATGAGGGCCTTTGTATAACATTTGTTCATTATCCTGGAACAAGAAGATGGTTTTATAACTATTTCGTATGATTAGTATTATTATTATTATTAATATCATTATCATTATTGTTAATATCATTATTTATTATTGTTAATATAATTATTATTATTATTATCATCATTACTATTAGTAATAGTATTGTTATTATTAACGTTATTGTTATTGTTTATTGTTATTATCATCATTTTCATCATCATCATCATCATTGTTATTACTTCTACTATTGTTAGTTCAGTGCAAGTGAGAATAGCGTAACCATGGGCAGAACAACAAGAAACATTTAACAGTGCTGATATAAATTGCTAAGTGAGTATTGGTATAACATAATCAGGTAGCTCTAAAAAGGTTTACACAATCAGGGAGGTGAAAGAAAAGGAGGCGAAACTCTTGTAATTTATTCAAACGCATTCTTGAGTTCTAAAGCGTAACAATGGGATGTGTAACATTCCACTTGGCTTTGAAGTTCCATGCTCCGAACCGCGCTTCCACTGCGGGGACTTTCGGAAGCCAGGCACCAGTTTTACATTTATTACAAAATATTAAATTACCGGCAAAATTTCAGTGTAAATAAGAAACTTTATATGGGGATTTTATTGGGAATAGTGCATCAAACAATTTTTCAAATTTAGAACTCCGTCCTTCCTTTAATTTGTGTGCCAGAGTCAAAAACTCAATATTTTAGGATGATGCGCTAATTTGTGCATGCTTTAAAGTCCCGTTATTTGATCCATGATTTACAATCTTCAATAACATTAAGTTTGCTAATGTGTGTTTTCGCGTGTTTTTTTGTATTTTTCAAGTTTAAAAAAGGATGAAATTACACAAGTTTGTGTTCGCTTGTTCTACTCTTTACACATTCAACAATGGATGAGAAATCATTGGAAGGGACAGCGAACAGTTGCTGTGATACCATTTTCTGATGTAGGAATTCTAAATCCCGAAATTTCATGCGCTCTTTTATCTCACCACCTGGTCAACAGTTGCAGATTAGCGCATAACTTTTCGGCGGCTTGGAGCATGGGGTCAAAGGAGAGCGGCTTGATTCCAGTCCTTCTCTATCACGTCCCTGACACAATGAGTGAACAACGATATATTGTGAGAAATGACGAAATACGAGAAATACTAACCCAAGGAAAAGTGAGTAAATTAAGCCTTAAAGGCCGTCTGTACTAATTTGGCCAGGAGGGATTACACCACACAGCGTGGTCACTGACAGGTGGCTATCTCATCAACTCAGCTCTCAATTAACATATGAAAAAGATGATCATAGGGGACCAATGGTCACCGCTTATGGACTGTTTTCTATATAGAGGGAGCAAGTAGCTACAAGTAGTACAGTGGGCTAGGTGATAATATGGAATATATCACCTAGACTTATTTAGCACCCATACCCCTGCGTGAAGAGAGAGGTAAACGAAACCCCAAATACAATCGTAACCACCCATTCCCGCACCCGACTAAACTTACAAACTACCTTCAGGGTTCTCTTGTAGACTCCTCTTTTTAGTGGTACAAAGCACTTTGAAATTGGTCAAGAAAATTAAAAGAAAATTTTAAAAGCTGGTACCAGAAAATGTCCACGGGGTTCTAATGACAGTGAGCTATTAAGCAATTTACATTTTTGTTTAAACGCTGAATTCCCTTACTTTACGATCAAAGCGGGTAGTTTAGGATACTGAGGCCCACGCATGAAGTTCGCTGAATTTAGCATTTTGTTTACACCATTAGCTATTATATTGTAATTTAAATATAACAATCAATCCGAGACCAAATTTTGAAAGTGTGACATGTCCCAACCCTAAATGACAGACTACGTAAATATTTTTTCTAAAAAAAAATTCAATAGATGCTTTTATTTCGGTCAATTAATGCCAATTTAAGCCAATTTATTTATTATTTCTTTAAAAGTAAAATTTTTATCAAGAGTATAAAGCATTCTTTTATTCAATACTACTGGGTGATCTATGGTTCCTCTTATTTTTCTGCTTCTATTCAAACCAACTAGATATCAGGGCGGACTTCCCCTTTATAGCTAGGTGTTACTAATTTCATATCTAATTTCAACACCTAACCCTTAAAGGTAGGTAGAAATTCAACAGGCTTGTGAAAGCTATATAATAAAAGATGATTTTTCAATGATTCAAAATAGAAGAGTTAGATATGCAACACCATGCTATGCCCTCTTACTCTTCAAACCGTTAGCTTAAATTTCTAGCATGCTTTAGGATATCATTGGAAATTAATAATAAATGAAAATGTATACCTCATCATATGTCTCTGACCATCCCTTGTAGGCTTGTTCCAGACGCTTTAGATCAAGATCCCCAGAGGATGCAGAGTACATATTCTTCCAATGTAAATCATCTTCACTAGTTCCTGTTGTCATTGACATTGTCTTGTAATGTATCAAATTAACATACAGAATAAGTCAAGTGTATGAGTGCATCAACAACTTCCGACTAGCATGGGCTGAGCATGGACGTGGTCTGAGGCTGATACGCTTATAGCCCGTTCAGCTCGGCATTATTCAGCCTGATAGCCACCTCACAAACGAGATTAAAAATCAAACACGCCGTACCGTGAGACCGCTCAGCGCGCGCCACAATGCGTGTGCGTTCAAGCGGCCAGAGGCTTCGACTAACGGGATTCTACCGCATGCGCAGATCATTTGCCAATCTGGCTTTAGGCCCGGTCACACAGCCCTTTACGGGCGTATCGCGGCCGAATCACGGCCAAAAATTTCTGCCCGTGAAGCAGACGCTGTTGGACGCGTTGAGGTCGCGATAAAGACGCGATACAGCCGTACTTTACCCGTCGTTACACGCGGTAAGAAATTCACACGCGGTTGGCCGCGCGAAAAAGTTTTGGGCTGCCCAAAAATTTAGACCGCGGGTAATCGCGGGCGGTACACGTGGTACACACGCGGTAAAGACGCGGTACAGACGCGGAACGAACGTGCTAGGACGTGCTACGGCCGCGGTTAAGACGTGGTTACACGCGGAATTGGACGCGAAATTTTAGCAGGTAATCGCGGGTGGAGCACGGTCATAGCACGTTTGTTCCGCGTCTGTACCGCGTTGTTATCACGTGCATTAGCGTGTGTACCGCGTGTAAGCGTGGTAGGCCGCGGTACCGCCGCGCTTCACCCGCGATAAGGACGCGGAACAGTCGCCGGCGTCTGTTCCGCGGGCATACCACGGGTAAACCGCGGGTATAAGCCAATTTTGCACATTTTCCACCACGGGCAACCGCGGGCAAAAAAAAAATCGCGAAATTTTACCCGCGATACAGACGCGAAAGGCTGTGTGACCGGGCCTTTTGTCATGTCGAGAACACGTTGCACGGCCGTTCTCTGCTGTGCTCCAAGCCTCTCAGTTCTTTCAGCTCTTTCGTAAGGGTTTTCTTCTTCGTTATCTTTTCTTCTTCTTCTTCGCCTCATTCTTATTTTGTTCTTCTTCTTTCTCTTTTTATTTAGATACTCAATTTTATGAGAAAAATACACAATTTATAAGAAATTAAAGATTTGAATGTAAATCTCTGTTGCATCATATTCATATGAAATAATTTACCAGCCTAAATTGACGGTTATAACATTATTTTGTCGGACATTATACTATAGCGAAAAGATATAGACAAGATAAAATGAAACTAAAGAAGAACCCAGAATGGGGGAGGGTTGGGGTGAAAGGAGAGACAAAATAGAATAATAATAAATAAATACAGTAAAGACTATACCGATGTGCCATTTGAAGAGCAAAATAATTAGTTTGTTTTATTTACTAATGTAAAGCGCTTTGAGCATGTTTATGCCATATAAATATCAATATGTATGAATATATTGCCAAATTTTGACAATTGTAGTTTGTAAGTATATGTATTGACAAAGTACATACAAATAAAACCGACACAGAAATGTCTGCAAGTATTTGGGACCTATATAGAATGTGCGAAAAGAGCTTTGTCTTTGTCTTTGGCCCATGCATGTTCCCACAGCTGAGTTACGTAAGAGGAACAATGAACGTTGCTGAGGGTACGGGTCGTTGTCATGGCTAGTAATGGGAAGTAAGGTAAGGGTATAATTGAATAATTGGATGACAGATCTGAGATTATATTATCCAACAAAAAAAAAGAGAAGAGTATGAATTTACAAATAGTTCCAAAAAATAGAAGAAAAAATAAATAAAGTGAAAGGCGTAAATATTCTAAAAAAAGAATGAAACGCCGATAATACCAAACAACAACAACAACAACAATGAACTGACTTTGTATTCATGTATAACCCTGGTTTATGTTGTTTTTGGGGAGGGAAAGGTCTTGTTGTTATTGCAGTTGTCGTTGCTGTTTTTTAAATTTTTACATGGGATCACGTTCCGACATTCTCATAAATAAAAATCATATAACGTAAAGCCAGACTTTGTCCTATCTGAAACACTCATTCAAAGACAACAATCATGCACGATAAAGGAATGGACAGGAATATGTGATAAAGATAAAATGTCACAGACAAATAGATAATTATAAGAAATGATTGTTTCTCTCTCTTTTTCTCTCTGCTTATGTGTGTCTCTCTCTCTCCCTCTATCTCTCACTCGGTCGCTTTCTCTGTCTATCTGCCAATTTTGTTCCGCCGGCACCATTCCTTTTTTGAGATAAATTATTATAAAATAATGATGATGTACACACTTTATTATACCTTATATTTATTATAGGGAGCGAAGTGAAAAACGAGCGGCTTATAATGTCTAAATGCGAAGAATATTACTGTACAATAATTATATTTCCAAAGTAAAACTTTTGAATGAAAATCTCTGTTGCAGCAAATTGATATAAACACTGTTTATTATGCTATATTTTTTAAAAATATTATACGTCGGACATTATACTTAAGCGAAAAGATATCTATATGATAACAAAAAGGACAGACTAAAGGCGACAAAAATCGGAGCTGGGGTGGGGGGGGGGGGGAGGATGATCGGAGAGACAAATATCATATAAATAAATACAGTACGGACTACGTCCAACTTTCTATCTCTCTCGCCCCCTTCCCCTCCCCTCCCCTTTCTCTCTCTCTCTCTCTCTCTCGCCCGTTCTCTCTTTCTCTTTCTATTTCCCCCTCTCTCTCTCTCTCTCTCTCCCCCTCTATATGTCTCTCTGTCTATCTGGCAATGTCGTTTTCCATCTTCATTTTTTTTTTTTAAATGTTTTCTATTCCTCCGTTTGCTTGTATGCCGACATCATCTCTTCCTTGAGATTAATTATTTTAACGTAATTATCCTTGATGATGTACACATTATACCTTATATTTATTTTAGGAAACGAAATAGAGAACGAGCGGCTGATAATGTCGAAATGCGAAGAATATTACTGAACAATAATTATATTTCCAAAGTAAAACTTTTGAATGAAAATTTCTGTTGTATCAAATTGATATAATTTTTTTTTTTAAATTCTATATTTACAATACTATTATACGTCGGACATTATACTTCAGTGAAAAGATATCTATATGATGAAGAAAAAAAAAGGGCAAACTAAAGGGTAAAAAAAAATCGGAGCTGGGGGGGGGGGGTGATCAGAGAGACAAATATTATATAAATAAATACAGTACGGACTACGTCCAACTTTCTATCTCTCCCGCCCCCTAGCTTTCCCCTCCCCTTTCTCTCTCCCTCTCTCTCTCTCTCTCTCTCTCTCTCCCTCGTTCTCTCCCTCTCTCTCTCTCTCTCTCTCTGTCTTTCTGTCTATCTGGCAATGTAGTTTTCCATCTTCATCTTTTTTATAATGTTTTCTATTCCTCCATTTGCTTGTACGCGCGCCGGCAGCATCTCTTCCTTGAGATTAATTATTATAACGTAATTATCGTATCAGGACAATTACCCCCTGGGCAATCACCCCCCCGGAAAATTACCCCCCGGAAAACTACCCCCCACGGACAATTACCCCCTGGAAATTTACCCCCCGGAGAATTACCCCCCAAGGACAATTACCCCCCATGGACAATTACCCCCCGGAAAATTACCCCCCGGAGAATTACCCCCCGAGGACAATTACCCCCCCAAGACAATTACCCCCCGGACAATTACCCCCGGAAAATTACCCCCCGGAGAATTACCCCCCGAGGACAATTACCCCCCGAGGACAATTACCCCCCGGGGACAACTACCCCCCGAGGACAATTACCCCCGAGGACAATTACCCCCCGAGGACAACTACCCCCCGAGGACAATTACCCCCCGGAAAATTACCCCCCCGGAGAATTACCCCCGAGGGACAACTACCCCCCGAGGACAACTACCCCCCGAGGACAATTACCCCCGAGGATTTTAATTTATTTATGACAGAATAGATTTGTTTCATACAGGGGTTGTGTATAAACATATTTGCAATAGTCATATTTAATTATATTTTATGTGAATGTATGATAAAAATATTGTTAAGGAAGAGTTTTCTAGTACTACAGTGCAAATAGGCGGGGAGCTCACAAGACACGTCACGGAGTTGCATATTTGTGTTTGCACCTTCAACAAATCATAATTTTCTAATTTTTAATTGGTGAAACTTCTTCAAACTCTAGGCCATATGAAAGCTAGAAACATCCACTACCTCCATTCCATCCTTGTGAAGTTTGACTTATTATGCCACATGTATTGAATCAAAGTCAATTGCCAGAAGACGCATGTATCAAATCAAAGTACGGAATTTACATTTCTTAGAAATTTAACAATACATTGCGCGCAGATGAGTACGCGTTACAGCCAGTCTCCCCCAAAATGGCACAACAAAGAAATTAGGATGTAAGATTTCATTATTTATGCATCCTCTGTAACTTTTCTAATCAGCTGATCGTATATTTGTCTTTGTATGTATAATGGGCCCTCATCCATGATCTATTCCAAAATTAAGGTTTTCTTCATGTTTATAGATGTAATGTAATGTATAAATATATATATATATATATATATATATATATTTTCTGTTGTCATAGTAAACTAAAATATGTTTTCTTGTACTGTAATTTTTTTTGAAATAAAAATTGCAGTCAAGTTAAATATATGGTATGCACGGTGCCATATTAAAAGAAAATAAGTATCCGCTCTCTGGTACATTCATCTCAATGATTTTGTAATTCCAGAGCAGCGTTTTTCAACTAGGGTGCCGCAAGAGAATGTTAGTTACATAACAACATTTTTTTGGAAAACGTTGATTTTGTGAGGAAAAAAATATCAGAAACGGTAAGAGTATTTATTTAAGAGAAAAAAAATGTAACAAAAATAATAAAATGTCTTTCTACCTTGCTCGCTGACAATATTTTGCGAATATATATCTTTTATTTCGAAATTAAATTGTTACCATACTCTCATTATATTTATAAACATGATAAATCAAGGCAACGAGAGGCCCGAATATCCTCATATTCGTGTATCAAGGTCATGACCGAATATATCACTTAAAGGCCCGGTCACACAGCCTTTCGCGTCTGTATCGCGGGTAAAATTTCGCGATTTTTTTTTGCCCGCGGTTGCCCGTGGTGGAAAATGTGCAAAATTGGCTTACCCACGGTTTACCCGTGGTATGCCCGCGGAACAGACGCCGGCGACTGTTCCGCGTCCTTATCGC